GAAGCTTTGCTCTGTTCGACAGATTTGTATTGTAATATAAAATCTGACATAGATGACAAAAAAAGACCGGTTTTCGATTTTCCAATAGCAATAGTAATTTGAATATATGTTACTAAGTATTAAAATATATTATTAAACACATTTTTATTTCTCGATTATTATGATGAAAATAACAATACTCCTTTATTTGTTTGTAGTTAAGCGCAAAACTATACGAAGTGCTATTCGTGCCCTGCTCACCACGAGTATCGAAACTCGGTTTCTAGCGTTGTAAGTCCGCAAACATTCCGCTGTGTCACTGGGGGGGGGGGGGCATTTTAATGACTTCGGCTCATAATGTGATCAATTACAGCAAAAGAAACGGGGTTGTTATACGTTAATAATTTAGCAAGTTTTTGAATATTTTACACCAAATGTCTTCGCACTTCAGCATTTTGATCGGCATAGAATCAGGCCTAAAGGTTCATTTATAGAGCTTTTATCGTTAAAAATTGGGTCTCAGTTCTCGCGGTGGACACAGTCCAAATAGCCCATTGTGTAGCTTTGTGCTTAATAACAAACAGACAAAAGAAAATAATCATGCGTATAACAACAGCCTAAAGTCTTTAATTATCAGTTATTAACGTCATGAAACTATGTATATGGTGTTTTGTTACTGCACGGATAATGCGTTTCTTCGTGAGATAAATATTGCATCATCAGTTCATGTGTATCAGGTTTTTCTCATTAAAATAATCTTAAAACTGTTTTACTAGTGACAAAAACTACTTTCATTAACAGGGGAGTAATGGTAGTCAAAACCAAAACATAAAATCCAGTGTTTATAACTGTCCGAAACTTTATCAGAATTTTATGTTATAAAAAACACTTATGTTTGTCGGAAATTTCTAACCGTGTGTGTTAATTAATCCGAACACATATTTTGTGCGATTTGTTTTTTATTGTGACATAAACCGTTATTCGAACACTTATAATAACCTGCTGATTCTACGAAATACCACAAAATATTCCATCCTTCACTTTAAGCTATTGGTGAGTTATAAAAATGACTGTCAATTCCTTAACATAGATTGCCGGTGATAGTAGTTCAGAAATAGGAACGGCGGCTAATAGCCTTGGTAGCTCTGTCAGAAAATACGAAATACAATTTACGAAATCTAATCTTGCAATTATCTAACACCTTGTTTTATGCACGTCACAGCTGTTAAAATTGAAGTTAACAGACAGATATAACTGCTAAAGGTTAACGTATTGTTGAGTTAGTTAGTTCAATTAAGATGTATAAATTGTATAGTACCCCCTACTTCAACCTATCTTTAGAGATCGTAGATTTTTGGAATGAAATCAAAAACGTAAAGAGGGGTTAATAACACCGTAGCAAGTTAATAAATCTAATACCTTATTTGATACTAGGATCGTAATATATGTCATTCACCGAATTAGTTAGGTTTAACTCGTATATTTGAAGTGGGTAATGATTGGGTAGTCATTATCTCTAATACCATTGGAGATTTTCCTGGTCAACTTTTATTGTCGGTATCAAAGTGGCTCTTCAGAAATATCAATAAAAATAGTTGAAACATTTCTTGAACGTTCAATTTTATTTGAAGTTTCATTTAGCTCCTCTTTTTTTTCCGTCTTTTTTCCACTAAGGCTATCACCTGCCTTTTAAAGGCAAACGTAGGAATGAGGTATTGAATAAAATGCCAGTCACTCAAGCAAACTTGTTGTTGAGCACTGCGTCTCTGAACAGATCATCTTCATCTTCCTCGTTCACGTGCCAACTAGTTTAATGTCATGCCTTTTATTTCACTTTCACTTGCTGTGACAATTCCTTGGTGTTTACATTATTGCTTCTGTTTCTTGGGCGGTCTTTTTCATTTAGGAGTCAACTTCTCTGTTCTTTGGTTGAAGTGACATTTGTTAAATAGAGAGAAAGAACCTAAATTATTGTAGTACGAGCAATAGTTTCACTTCTGTTCGTTATGAATTTCTTAATTAATTACCCATTCTTAAAGTTTACACAAAATATTCCTTCAACTCTTTCCATCCAAACCGTCATTATATTTGGTTTTAAGATACTGCTAAAACATTGAATGTACGTAAAATCATAAATAATATTTAACGTTAAACTGGTACAC